TGCTAAAAATCAGGTTTCTTATTCTATTTTTTTAGAACGTCTGGTTTATTTTTTTCATTTCTTTTAATTCTAAAGACACAAATTCTTCCCCATTTTCTTTTCAAAATAAAGTTTTAGAATTGATCTGTCAGTTAAAATTAAAGGGCTTTTATATTAAGCAAAAGTGCTTTTAAATTTTAAAGCAACTTCAAAAAATCGATTTAGTCCATAGATAATAAATAATGTTGTGCGGATACTCCACAAAAGCTCTGCTATGTCCTTTGAAAGCATTATGAACATTATGAATAAATTCAAATGAGTATTTTAGTCAGGTTATTATTTTAATAACTCTAACCTTTTTCTTATCGTGTTGATTCATTTTATACAAACACACAATGGAACAATTACCTAGCATTTGACTCTCTGAAAAGGAGATGTGAGGTCATCAGATATGTAAATTGCTTCTCAAAATACTTAATAGGTCATTGATTTACTTCTCTAGCTACCATGTCTATAAAATTAACAGCTAATTACTAGTTAATCTATGCTTTGCAAATAGATAAATACTATAAAAATTGAATGTGCATATTTGAACCCTCATTTTAAATATAAAAGAAACTTCTTAAACTCAGTAAAAGTGCATTTTGAATAAAAGAGTACCTGGGCTTTCCAAAAATCATATCCAAGTGCTTTGTTTTTCTAATTCACTGGACAGGCTTTGTAAAAATAAGCTACTGGAGAGGGCTGTATATTTTTGTCTTCCTCTGATAGAAACCCACTCTGAGAATGTGTTTTCCTTTCTTCTGGAAACATTATTTGTTACTCATTATGCTCATAACTTATTACATAAACATATCGTTCTTCAGTAATGCTACTGTAGGTATAGACACCATTTTGATACATTATGAAATATACACTCTATTAACAGATTTGTTTAAATTATCAGCCTGACTCAAAGATATAAAAGCTTAAAAACAATGCCAAACATAGTATCTAAAATTATATCTTTTAAGTGTTTCTAGTATATGAACTTCAAAACCCTATATGGTATTCATTTCTCACACTAGATTTGCCTTTCTTTAACGTGAGGTAAATATTTTGACTACTGCAATTTGCTCAGGTGCTAGGGTTCTAAAACCTTTTGAATTTCCTTTTAGTAGCCCCTAGACAATATCTACTTTTCTCTTTCATTTATTCCTTATGTCCACCTCCAGGATCCTTAAATAACAGTAGACAAAATAAACTACTTCAGAAGGAAGCAACACTCTGCAATCAATTCCCTGTCCATCTTTTAATTTTAACAGATCAGACACACATACACATACAAAAGGAGAGTGGGGGGACCCCTGTTCATTTGTTTAAGCCCATTATTAATGTCACTTCTAAGACAGCATGTTACTGCTTTCCAGAGATAGTCATCATCGACATTATTGAAATAAGCAGTACTAACACTAAGTACTTACACTTTTAACTTTAAAACTTAGCAGTTGAGTCATTCAGTACCAAGTCAAAACACAGAAAAACAAAAAAAGCAGCTGAGGTTTATTCTTAAAAAATGGAAAAGAGAAGAATATATACTTGGCCTTGGTAAGCCAAACATACAGAGAAGAAAAAGCCTTTTTAAAATCTTATTAACATGAGGGCCCAGAGCACAAAGAAATAAGTAAAAGGAATATAAACACAATCCTAAGATGACATTGACAGAACAAAGCTGAATCTTAAAATAATACTGCATGAGTGAATCTTAGGAAAACTAGGGATAATAAAAAGTAGGAAGAAATGATGTGAGCTGTATCAAGAAACCAATTATTTCCCATTTAAGGGTTAGAAGGCATAGCTTTGGGGGGAAAATATTCTGGAAATTCATTGCAGTAAAATGCAGTTTTTTTTACTTAGAGCAGTTTGAACGTTTATTACTTAAAACATTCAGCTCTTATTCTGTTCACCTGGTTTTCCCAACTCAAAGTTTGAAGAAAAATTTTAGGCTTTTAGTTCTGTGACTCTACTGCGGTCTTCACAAATAGTCTCCATCCTGGAAGATGGTGTCAGAACATCCCTGCAGATATCCCATTGATAAATATATAAATATATCTATCGTTAAATAAATAAACAAAAATAAATTATTTCAACAATGAGTAAAAGGCCAACTCCCAGGCACTGCTACCACACAGTGCCTGCCATGCTGTCCCCGAGAGACTGCCTGGAGCTCTGTTCGAAAGGACAGCTCATGTCCCTAGGGTGTGGGCAGAAGGCAAGGCAGCCGTTCCCATCCTGCTGGACCAGAGGGCTTCTGCAGCTGAGCAACCGCTTCTTCAGACTAAACCAGGATGTGCCACTTTGCCCTGGCAATCCTGACCCTCAGAACACACATATACATGCCCAGGTGCATACATACAGACCCTCTGCTCCCACGTCACTCCTTTTCTCCCATTCCCACCTCTTACACCTGGTGTGTCACACCCAGGTCTCCAAAGTCTCTGCTCGTTACACAACAGAACCGTGGGCCAGAACTGGCTGCCTGACCCTGGTGGAAATCATAGCCAGTGAGAAGGAAGAAGTAAGCCAGCCAGCAGCTGCGGCACACACTCCCACATAGACCTTCTCTGACAGTTCCCTCAGCACATGGCCGGCCCTTGGGGAATGCAGACTGCAAAATGTCAGGAGGTAGAAATGTCTGCACGGGCAATTGTACCAACAGTGCATACGCGTGCGCATTCCCCTGAAAGAAGTGTGCCACTGTGCAGTGCAGGCTGCACAGTGCCTGCACTGAATAAAACTACATGCACACATACAAAAACCAATCAACTTAGGCTCTATATGTACAGCAACTCTGGTGGAATAAAATTACTAGTATATTTCATGCCAGAGCGATGAATCTCAATTATCTATTCACAAGTAATTCCTCAACTGATAAACAGTAGATACTGAACTAGAAGGTTATATTGTTTAATCCTTCCATTAATTTCTATTTCTGATCACTTGCTTTTGGGCATTTTTTTTAAAGCAGAGTACAATTCAGTGGAAGTGTCTCTTTGTCCCCAGAGGTTTCTGCATGTGCAAGCATTTTAATCCAGACTGCCAGAAGCTCCAGGCTTTTTACTGAAGTTTGCAGAGGAAAACTTCTCTATATCGACTTATATGTTGCACAGAACAAATAAAAGTCTCAGACAGGCCTTTTTTTACCCAACAAAGGCTTATTTTTTTCCATCCTTTGCTTGGGCTCAAGCACTCCTGCCCTGCGTGCCTCCACTTTAAACATGATCAGATCTGCGCTTCATTGCAAATAACAACTGACCAACAATGGGCCCTGCTTCATAGATTTGGGAATGTTTGGCTTAAGCTGCCAATGACTGAAGGCCTTTAATTCCCACCGGCCAGTCACAGTCTGCTTTGTTGTTGTCTGTTGATGTGTCTGTGCTCATTATTCCTTGACATGCAACATCCCCCTCCACCCTCCAACCATCCACAACCGCACAGAAAGCAAGATTCAAATGGGAACAGCTGTAGTGGTTCAATGGGAAATGATGCCTCTTGTGCAAAGGGGAGGGAGACAGAAAAGGGAGAGGGCCTATTTGAGAAAGGCAACAGCTTTCAGAGAGTCTCCTTTAAGAAATCTACTTTTGAATATACTTCAGTGAAATCATTGTTGAAATAGGCTGACAATGGAAATCTGCCCAGATTGAAAATGCCAGTCTTAATTCAAAAAACAACTCCTAATAGCTTGTAGCATTTTAAAATTATTTGTAGACTTAGAGCTTTTGAATTAAATGACTAACTGGGAAATATTTTATATATGTTGCGGGTATAAGTGGGCACAGAGCTACACCCAGCATTAAGTGGAATTTTTTTCTAACACATTTTTGATTTATGATATCTGTAAGAATTATTGTTTTAAAGATCATCAGGATGTAAAATAGAGTGTGTATGAAAGTAACCATTGGTTTAGAGTGTTGATCTAACATGGAAATAAAATTTGTAACACCACACTATAAGGTTAAAAAGAAAATTGTATAATAAAGGAAATACAAAGGCTTTGGCATGGTTTTTGTACAATCAATGGTTAATTTTTGATATGTAGTTGTGAACAACTTCAAAACACTTAAGTTTAAAACTCTTGCAAGCACTTTTAATTGATTAGGAATGAATTCTAGATGCACAAAATGATTGGACCGTGAACAGCAATACAACTATATCTAAGAACAATTAACTTTTTGCTGGCCAAAAAAGAAACGTATGATTGCATGAAAATGTGTATAAAACATCTATAGAGTATTCTTGTCAAATATAAATGAAATTAACTTTATTATAGAAATCATTCTGAGGATTTCTAGGGAAGACAAATACTTACATTTTGACATAAAACAAATTGGATTATATCGAAGACACACTCTACCTTTTAGCTATCAACTTTTTTCTTTCTTGAATTTATATCTTACCCTTTTTTGCACATAAACTTCATCTGTTAACAACCTTTGGAAAACCAACAAATATTTCTTACATAAATCTAGTGCATGTTGTTCCAGGTTTCATTATATGCAAAGGAATGATACAAACTTGGAACATCAGTCCATAAACTATGAACAGATGGGTAGAAGTATTCGATATATCTTGATAAAACTCTTAAAACTGTGGCAAACTTGTTGGTCATGGTTTTCTTTTAAAAAAAAAAAAAAAAAAAAAAAAAAAAAAAAAAAAAAACTGCATGACCAACACAGATCAAACATCCATCCAGCCTACGTTGTTCTTGTTTCATTATAACATACAAATGCCCATTTACAAATAATACACCAAAATGAATAAAAGTTTGGATACCAAAATGAAGATTTGTTCCAACTGATATCGTGCCTTCTGTATACAAAGGTCCTTGTTTCAAGTCTGCTTCCCCAGTGGTACAATACAGGACACGGTTGTAGAACTGAAGCGCCTCTAACAGCCGTTTTTCTTTCTTTCCTGAATGCTCAACTGTTGTGTCCACATAGTCACTGACTGAATTCACACAGTATTTCCTTTCTTTTTTTATATTTTTTTACTGTAATCTTGGCCAGTATTGGGACATATCAGGTTCACTTCCAGGAACTTGCACTGGAACTGACACACCCGGGGAAATGAGTCCTGGAAGGGGATGAAAGAAACAGCCATGTAGATATCCCCTTTGAGAAACAGACATGGAACACAAATGTGTAGGTTTACAAAAAACAAAAACAAAAGAACTTCATACTTTCTAACACTTTTTACTGTATTAAAAAATACTTTAACTGTTACAAATAAAAGTAGCACCTTCAGAAACAAGACAACATGTTAATATACACCTATTGGATCCCAAGTCCCCTCCACCACCATCCAAAAGAAAAAAAAATATCCCTCCATTTCTTTGAATGTTTGGACCTTTTACAATAAAACTGTCTCCGGAAAACCAATGTGTCAGTTTTTTATTTGCAGTGAAAGGTCTAGAGGAGCTACGAGCTATGAGCTACAAGGGCAAGAAGCGTTTCAACAAGCACCCACCTACAGCTCAGTGGACCACCTGCTGAGCTTTATCTAATAATCTGTCCTCAGAAAACGCAGTCTCAGGCTTTGTCTTCATATACAACTTTCGTGACCAAATTCAGGAAAAACAATTTTGTTTTTTGTCTATATGGTGTAAAGTTACTAATTAGCTTAACTGAATTTCCCTTTTCAATCCCCATCCCCCAGGGACAAGGACAGCAAAGAGTTAAACACGCCCTCCCACGAGGCCAGGAGATTCTGTTTGGGTAAACTTCCAGTGAAGAGAGATCACCTGGCAAAAGAAACTGTACAGGCCGCCTCTGTGCAGCCTGCAGAAAGCAGTGGCTCACCTGTTGAAGTGGTGCCCGAGGTGCCCATTGGCTGACTGTTCATGTGTGTCTGCATATGTGGGGGGGTGTAGGTATCATAACTCCGCCCATTCACCGAAGGGCTGGTGGGCAGCATGCAGGAGTATGAAGAGGTCTGGCTGGGGACTGGAGGCTGTGAAGAGAGAGGCAGACCTGTGGTTACTGAGAAACACATGACACAGCCACAGCCCCAGGCGCCCACCTCCCCAGGAACTCTGCCAACAAGTCTGATCATTAAAGATGACTTCACGTGAAGTACTGGAATTCCATATGATCAATCTAAGATTGGGCCTCTGGCTAGAAGAAAGTTGCCTATATATCAAGCTTCTAAAGCACTGTATTTCCTGACACCCGTCCAGCTAGATGGTTGCCTCTATCCAGAAATTAATAGGATTCTTTTCTCTAACCTCTGCTGACATCTTCGGAGAACCTACAGCATGAGGACCTTCATCAAAACACATCCCCTCTCCCTGCAAATCTGGATTTACTTGGGAATCCTGTGACCCCTAAAGCCCATATCTCAAACTTTGGGACAGAGGGCAGCGGGAGGAGGAGCTCTCAGTAACGTATGGCTTAGCGACCTTGGGAACCTTTCACAGCCAGACTCATGGGATAAAAGATTCTTTGAAGAAGCAAATTTGTAATGACCCCAAGTTAAAATGATCAGAAGTGTTAGTAAACATAAACCACCCCCATCTTGAGAATTAATCATAACTTCCTAATAGACCCAAAAGCCCAGATTGAGTTAGTAAATGTAACCCACCTGCATCCTGAGAATTACCATGACTTCTTAGCAGACCCAAAAGCCCAGATTGAGTTGTAACCAGAAAACCATTGCTACCCTGGAACTACTCAGAATGGCAGCACTGAGAAGATAAACCTTTCTCCTGACAAAGCCCCTCACGAGCTCTCATGGTCCTATGCCATGGCAGCAAACTTGAGATGAGTTAATAGAAGCGTGTCAGGAACAAGCGTGTTAAATGATAGTACAGTATACTATTATTTCTCTTCTCTGCAAACTGGAGAGATGTTTCACGTTCCACGATCCACCATTCTCAGAGAAGGAAACATATCAGAGAAGGTCCAGAGGAAGACACCCATCATTTGTAAAATGACTATTTTGGTCAGGAGAATGAATAAACGGATAGACAAACTGACTCACCCACTCCAAAATTCAAAGAGTAGTTTTCTCTGAAGAGTAAAGTTATTGATCATTTTTATTTTCTCTGTGCTGAATGAATGCATGTACTTTTTGAATTATATAAATTATGTAATTTTTAAAAGTCAGTGTTTGAAATAAATGGAATTCCCACACGTCTATATGTGGAAACGACCTTGATAAAATGGTAGCATCTACCTGTTCATCTTATTATTGTCTCACATACACATACATATTGCTATATTCACAGAAACCTGGATGTTGTTACAATATATGAAACTGAACAAGACACTCTGTGGCCTTATTAAAGTCTGATGATGAATGCTAACATCAAGTTCAAAGAGGCAAACAGGCCTTGAGGGCCCTGCCAGAATTTCAGCTTGCATTTGTTTCTAATTCCTGCAATAACTTCCTCTAGGCAACCTGACTTCTGGAAAATTCCAAGGCAGTTAGAGCAATACCAACTAATGGGCTGTTAATCCCTTAATTTACATCAATTGCACTATGGCCAATAATATCCAGATGCAATAAAAATAAATATGTGAATAATTCCTCTGAAGTTTCTTATCTAGCTGCTCCTATATTAGTCTGAAGACTGACATATTTATTTTGCTGTTATTTGGATTTGAAATCCAGCAAAAAATGCTCATTGGAGAATAAACAATCTGTGTAACCCCAGAATTGTTTCCAGCAGGGGCTCATGCTGGCCATTATCGTACCATCTTTAACATCTCTAATTGTTGCACAAACAGGAGTTCTAGGAAACCATTGGAAGAGGCCCACCAGAAGACAGACATTTTTCCTATCAAGAATCCATCATCAGCAAAGGTCTAGTACAAACCACCTGTCTTATCCAACTTTCATCATAAAGCATGAACCTAGTGCAAGGCCTCGAAATGTAGGGGCTAATAGATATTTGGGACAGAACTAAGAGGAGAGGCAGGCTGCCATACCAAGTGAATAGCGTCAAGCTTCCCAGGCAGCTAGGAGAGCCACAAACTGGTCACACCATTCACAGCAAAGACACACTAAATTTCCAGCAAATACCTGCTATGCCTTTTCTTATTGTAGATGTAGACAGAAAAACTAGCTTCCTCATTATATTAACTATAACTCACCATGTAAATATAAATCCCATTCCTGATCCTTTTTTATTTCTCGTTAGTTTATCACATATACCCTAAGTAATGCCCCAAATGCATACACAGATTATATATTTAGCATGCAAACACAGTATAAACACAAATTTGAAAATACTAATCTCTTGCTATCTGATAATGTGCCATCATTATTTCCACTTTCTGGCACAAGGCTCCCTGGTACCCGAAACATGCCCCCCCACCCAACATTATCCAAGTAACATTATGATAAAAGGCAGATCAACTTGACAAAACTGGACCGATTTTTGTTACTACTTTTGTTAGGGCATGAATTAATGAGTCAACCACTTAAAAGAGATTGGATTGGCTATCTTACTGGTACCCCAAACACCCACTACCAACATTATCAAGCTAAACAGTATAAGAGGCAGGTTAACTTGACAAAACTGGACAGATTTTGATTATTATTATTTTTTAAGGCATGAATCAATGAGTCAGTCACTTAAAAGAGATTGGATTGACTCTCTGACAACTGGTCAAGCCAATCACTGTAGTGCAAAAATCTCCCAAGGCCACATGCATAGCCGATGAGGTCCGAAGGCCCTGACCCACTCCTCACTTCTCTGGGGCCAGGGTTCCGCAGAGTGCCTCCAGTCACACTTACTTGCATAGGCAGGTTATTTGCCATGGTGAAGCTGGGCATGGGCGGCAGAGCACTGTAGGTATTTGTGAGGGCTGTGTCTGTTCGGCCCAACATGGAGCCAGATGTGAAGGAGGAAACTGAGGGCAAGAGAAACGACAGTAGTCAGGGTGAGAGTAAGAGCCCGGAGCAAACAGGTTTAACACATTGATTTGTAGTATATTAGTATTTCGAGTTACCAGGTGTGGTGGGTTGGGGGATTGGTTGGTAGACACTGGTGCTGAAACTACTGCTGATAGGGATATGACTAGGTGTGTTGCTGGCCTGTCTTCTCTGATTCCTCAGTTTTTCTTCTCTTCTCCATTTGGCCCTTCGATTAGAAAACCATACCTGGAAATCAGATAGGACAGGTTAGCACTGTGCCTATGTCCGAGCCCAGCCCCACCTCGACACCTCGGCTGCTGCCCTGCCCACACCCATGGCAGCAGAGTATCTAGCAGACTGAACCTGTTATTATTCCTATAGATAAACAGTGCTCTGTACAAGCACCTCTGTCTCTAGGAAAGGCAAATGGTATGAATCACAAAGTGTGAAACTGCACCGTCCCTTGGTACCTGTATTCTTGCTTCAGGTAGATCTATTTTGGCTGCTAGTCTTTCTCGGGCAAACACATCTGGATAATGGGTTCTCTCAAACTCTGAAAAAAATAAGTTGATTTTCCACATTGTGCCAGAACTACACAAAATATGTTGACCAAACTGGATCAAGCTGGTTCCCACCTCCCCACTCCCATCACCTCCAACTAATTCCCTTTAAAATGCTTCTAGTGTTGACCGTACCAAGTGAAATTTTCTTTGGAATGACATTCAATGACCTTTCTGTGGCCTGAAATAGCCAAATCATCATGTTTCTCTTATAAGCCAGATGCTTAGTCTTTGAATTACTGGTACATGAAAAGAACACACACACACACACACACACACACACACACACACACACACACACAGAAGAGATGCCCAGAGAAAATAAAAAGACAGAAAAAAGAAACCTTTTCAGTCCTCTATGCAAAGGGCCCTGGCTAAATTTAGCTCTTTGTACTGAAGATGTGGCATTTACTTTGATTTACTGCTTCTCTACTTTGAAAAACTCTATCACCTTTCTCCAGGGCCTCAATTTGCTCTTGGGTAAAGGATGTTCTATTTCTTTGCAGCTTCCGCTTCAGCTGAAGTCGCATTTGAGCCTCATCTGAATCTTCTCCGTTGGAACTGATGGAGTTGGTGTTCTCTCCCCCTCCTTCCTGTTGCTGGCAGCCATCTGGAACAAAAAGAATAGGACGGTAAGAGAAATTTGGAATAACTTGGAGCCTCCAAAAGGGGCCTGGTGTAGTCTGAAACTCCAAGAGCATTATATCCTGACAGCCTCACCAAAACATTCCCAAGGTAACTGTCAGCCTTCTTTAAATAAAAGACATTTGTGACGTTAATTACTTGACCACCATTTTCTTTGTTTTTATCAAGATGAGACTTTATAATACTCACATAAAGTAGCATTTCTTGAATGAAAAAATAAGCACTGAAGTTTCCAATTAAAATGATCTTTTGTAAGGAACCCTGAGTCCCCAAATTCTGCCTCACTCCGTTCCCTACAGAACGTCTTTACCTATGGCTGTGCTGGGAAAATGGAAGAGTGATGTTCAAGATTTCAGTTGATCTATAATCGGTAATTCCCATCTAATCAATTAGATGTTGATAGGTTTGTAGAAAATGCTATTAAGAAACCAAACCAAGCTTGTAATCTTTTAAAAAAATATTTATCTAGTTTTTATTTGAATTCTGCACAGTCAATTTCATTTTAAAGGTTGTGAATTTAGAAGTGCTCGCATTGTTCTGCAGTTTTATTCAACTATTGTATGAGTGCGCTTTGCCTTGACACCTATTACGAGCACAGCTGTAATTATATCATCACCAAGAACAGGCTATAATTGCTGAAAATGGAATTTTATATTTAGATAAAAGGACTGTCCATTCTTTATAATGTGTTGCACCAGAGAAAAGTAAGATTTCTTTTAAATTTTTAACGTGTAATTTTAAAAAAGAAATGGTAGAGAGTTCACTAACTAAATATTCTATGCTGCAGCTGAATCTTTGGCATATCATTTAAGTGGTACATTTTTAATTAGGGCATTTCCACTACTTTTAATGTAATTTCTATCATTATACCGGGGAAAGTTTTATTGTTTTGCCTTGCTGCCTGGAGGGCAAGATGTGCACTTGGGCTAGCTGGCTCCCACCGTGCACCTTGCCTGTAAGGCCACAGCCTGTGTGAAGGGAAGCAAGACTGAACCCTGACTGGGCCTCCAGGGCCACTATGTGCTGGGTCCTGGGTCGGGGGTCTTGAGGCCCCCAAGTGATACCAACATGGACTACCCCCCATCCTCAAAACTTGGCGACAGGCGCGGTGGAGGGGCCCCTAGGAGGGCCTTGGTGGGAATCAACTTGGCCAGGAATATTATTTATAACCAAGAGACAATAGGCTGCACCTTCAAAGAGTTCAGGGAATTGTGACAGGATCTAGTGGGATCTTTTCAGGAACTTTGAAATGTTTTAAAACCCCAACTTTCTCCCCCATTTAAACAGGCGGATTCATCAGCACTGGCCACCATATGGGCCCTTGGAGATCTATTGAGATGACCACCAACACTTGAATAGCGAGGGGCTGCTTTTCAGCGCTGCACAATGCCCTGCGAGTAAGGGAAACTATTAAACTCCTGGGGCAGGAGCGTTGGCAAACTTTCGTGGGCAGAATTTTGAGGCTACAATGAGCGCGGACAACAAAAGGATTCTCTTGAGGCGTGCAGCGGGCCACATTGTGTTACAAGGAGCCCAGTCAACAGACTTTTCAGTGAAGTGTGTTAACCCCTCTGCTCTGCTATCATTAATCACTGTCCGAAGAGCGGGCGCCTCCGTGCTATTTAGGGCGCTTGGCTGGGGGCACGGAGGGTGGATGGGGGGCCAGGGCCCGGCATGGGGGAAGGCAGGGAGGGTGGATGGAGACCAGGGCCGGGTTCCTACGTTGGAGAGATGGAGGGGAGACAGGATGGAACTCAGTGGTGGGGGTGGAAGCAAGGGGGAAGGATTGGGGGCCTGGGTTGGGGGAAGGGGCGGAGGGCAAGGGAGGGAAAAAAGAGGGCTCAAAAAACACAAGAGGCCAGAACGGTATAAGAAAAAAGGACAGAAAAGAATGCTGAGAGGAAAAAGAGGCAGGAGGACCATACAAGAGTGGGAGAGAGAGGAAATGGAAGATGAGGAACAGAAAATATTAGTAACTGAGCCTCAGCTGGGCTCTGGGTCTTTGCACCCCATCAGAAAAGTGGGGGTTGGAGAGGGAGGGCTACTCAGCTGAGAGGGAAGCGCTCCACTCACGTGTGTGTGCGGGTACAGGCGTCTGTGCTAATTGACTGCCCTAAGCTTCCGGGGGAACTTTTCAAAGCGTTTTTCAAGGGAAAAAAAAATGAATCGACCACCCCCACTCTCGCTTTATTTTCGGGTATGGTCAAGAAGGAAGACTGGAAATAGCTCCTTTTGGCCAACTAGAAAGGCCGGAGGGTTATTGCTTTTGGAAAACAGACAAAAATGTGTGCATCTATGCACATCTGGCATGGGGGGCGGGCACTGAGGAGAACATAATCCCCCTCTCCCCGTGGTCACTCATGCCTCTGCCATCCTGGGGGCCCCACCTCAGTCCCTTTTCTGACACATTCGATCTCGGCAATTAAACAAAGTTGCCCGGATCTGCCTCTGAAGACCCCTGCAGATAGCAACCTCTGCTCTCATTTGCCTCTTTGACATTTTCTTAATTTTAAAACATGGAGATTCATGTTCTTATCCATGTTCTATCTCACACAAACTTACACGCGGCCTACACAGGCACGCACGCAATCGCCGCCAGGCACTGCGTTGCCTCCAGAACTGACATTTAAGGGAGAAAAGTCAGCAGGGACAGGAGAGCTCAATGTTAAATCTTAAAAAAAAAAAAAAAAAAAAAAAAAAAAAAAAAAAAAAAAAAAAAAAAAAAAATTGGGGAAGCGGGGATTGGAATTAGAGGCCAGCAAAAAGAAACCCGTGGCTGCAGGATCCCTTCTCAACCCCGCGGGGAGAGCGTATAGGGGAAAGTTTGTTACTTTACAAGTGGCAACTGTTTGCAGCCAGGCAGTGACTTAGCGGTTGGTCTCACTTAAAACGGGTGCCTTCCCCCCTCCCTTTTGTGGATTTGCCTTCCACCCTTAAAGCTTTTAACAAAATAAAACTAGAATTTGGATCTCGGCTCCCCCACCCCCACGATAAACGTAAGTGGTGGACAATTAAGATATCTTTAAAAGGCGCCCCCTCAGAGCTGCGCAAAGCAGGGGCCTTCAATGGGTGCCGTTCACCTTCCAGCCTAATCCGTGAGAAGGCCAGTGAAAGCGCCTCCTATTATCCTAGCCCCAGGACCATCTGACAGAGAGAGAGAGAGAGAGAGAGAGAGAGAGAGAGAGAGAGAGAGAGAAGAAAGAGGGGAGAGAGAGGAGAGAGAGAAGAGAGGTGAGAGAGAGACAGAGAGAGAGAGACTGAGTCGCGCTGGGAAATAAAATCATTCCTTAGTTTCTTAGTGTCTTAATCAGTGAGGCGGAAAACAAGCAAGAAAAGATAGCAACCCGGTTGCGGCACCTTTTTAGCTCTGGAGCGCAGATCAAAACATTGTAGCATCTGTTGAAAGAGAGGCTGACTAAATCCTATAGAGGGCTTGGGTATTATGGGGGGCGGGGGGTGGGGTGAGGGGAGGAGATAAGAAAAAGTGTCTCCGTGATCCCTAAAACCACCAAATCGCTGGAGAATTGGGGCTGGATAGAGTTGTCTGTTGTTGTTGTCAGCCCCACGTCGTCGCGATTTTATTCACCGCTGCATGGCGTTGATCAGATGGAAACCATATTTGTCTCCCTCTGAGACCTAACCTCGCCTTATGCTTTTGGAGTAATGGACTCTTTAAAACCCAAGAAAGGCTTGGGCTGGGAAAGGGGGCCGGGGAAGGAGGGGGGCCGGGGAGGGAGGGGGACCTTCTTAGCGCCAAAAAGCCTGAGGATTCCCCGGAACGTGAAGCGAAGCTCGTCACCACTGCCCGCTACCCCCATGCCCGCAACTCTGTGTGCTTCGTTTGGCCCACGTGTCCTCTCCACTCCACTGGGGGCGACGGTCCTGCGCCTGGGCTAACAATCACCCCCAAAAACCTCACTTGAGCGTGGGGGTGTGGCGGTGATTGTCAACCCAGAATTTTCTAGCAATTAGGTGCGTTAAAGTGAAAACCCCCTCCTGAACTAGTGCTGCCTCCTGTGCCCAACCATCACCGGTGGACCCTAACCCGTTAGACGCTCACTTCCCGTCCTCAGGCTGCCGGGGACTAAAATCTAACCTAATCGGGCGCCACCTCTGGTGGAAGCTGCTCCCCTCGGCTTCTGTCCCAACTCCAAGAAGCGGGAGGGAGGTGTCTTCTGCGCCCCAAGCTCAGTGGAGCCCACACGCCGAGGGAGCCGGGGATGGAGGCTCTGGGCTCAGCCCTCCCGGGCCTGGGCCACCGTGCCCTGCGTCCCTCCCCAAGACTTCTACGACCAAGTGGGCCAGACTCTTGGCAGGGGAGGGACCACCGGGACCTCAGATTGCTGGAGGCTGAGCGGAGGACGGCTCGTGAGTGTGAAGTTCGGGTGTCACTTGGGTGTGTCCAGAGTCTACACGTAGGAATCCTACAGTTTCAAAGGTCAAGCAGGCATGGGGTCGCCTACACTTGACGAGGTCAATCGCTAGTCTCACCAGAGGCGGGAGCGGGCCTAGGAGTCCTCTGCGCTCCCGGAGGCAGCGGGTTCGGGGCCCGCTCGGGCGGGGTCGCCCAGGGGAACCGGGCCCCGCGAGTCAGGAGGACTCCGCCGGCGGAGCAGCCGCGCTGGAAAACAAGAAGCGAGCGCTTTGCTCCCTATCTTCCCAGTGTCCGTCCTATATTGTTTTCTGCTCTTAAAACTGACATGTCTAATTGGCAATTGGTGCCGAATCGTGTCCAGAGGTCTCTTGTGGAACATTTCTACAGCTGTCTCCTTCAACTAGACGCTTATTCATGTCGCCTTAATGAGAAACAAAACGTTCTCTAATGAGCAATTACAGAGCGACAGGATTGTTCCCATAACAAATTCTTGCGAGTGACAGAAGCATCCTTTGTACCAGATATTTCGCATACTGTTACCGATTTTCCCTTCCCTCGCCCGACTCCATGGAGGCGCCGGGCATCCGGAGCCGGTCCGAGAGTGCACGGACGCGCCGGCAGCCTCCTCGCAGTCCCGCGCGCCGCCGCCCCCGGGCCGGAGCCCCCAGGCTCCGTTGTGCTCCCGGGAGTGAGGCGCCACGTCCCATTATCCCGCATATTATCTCCTTGTCACGAGGACAACAAATACCGATTAATCTTCAGAGTAAACTGTTTCCTATTCTTGACCAAGCTACCTCGGGGTGTGGAGGGGGCGGGGTGGGGGGAGCCAGCTGACCCTCCTCCCCGGCTCCTCTTCCTCCAGCCCTTCTCACAGACCCTGAGCTGTTCCAGGTCCCATTTCTCCTCCCAGACCCGAGCCTTCCCGGCGCTCCATCGTCCTGCTCACAGTATCTTCACCCACCACTTCCACATATTCGCCACCCACAGAGAGTGAGAAAGTGGGGCCCTGAGGGGTGAACGGGGGAGGGGCAAGGATGGTGGGGTGGTTGTGGCTGGAGACCACCACTTCCAATGCCCCATCCCTGACTCGGCCCTGAATCTCCCTGCTCTCCCTTTCATGTGCACCCTACTCATAGTCACATAATTTGTCAATTACAGCAAAAAGCAAACGATACAATTATGTTTACCTCGCAGTCTGTCAGTGTGTTAACTTGTCACACTTCTACAAGGGGGCTCTCCCTGCATTCTAATGTCAAATTTGAATAGTGCACCATGCAGCTTGTTCTTATGCACACAGTTCAGCCCACAAACACACACACCAGCCACCTTCATACCACTCCGGACATACACAACCCTCACATTCCCAGGCCAACAAGATGGTTCAACCAACACCACCTACATACAATGAGAGTCGATGTGTCCCAGGCCTTCACATTCAGTCTCCCCCAGGACATTCCCCAAGCTGGAATCACCCGGTGGAAAAGGTTGGGAGAGTAAGGGATAGGCAACAGGCTGCCTGTATGGAGAGCTTGGTGGATGGCTGCTTGGGTTTTACCTTGTGTAGGTTGCCCTGGCACCGAAGTCCCCGGATACCAACCAGGGCGGGTGCCCCAGCTTCCGGTCTGCCCATTCAACATCCTTAGTTTATCATACATGCCGTCTGCGCCCATCTGTTGCTTTTCGCTAGCCAGGTTGCGAAGAACTCTGTTTATTGATGACACCTGCAAATCAAACCAAAATCAAACCAAATGGTAGTGTCTCCTGAAGACATAGTCACCCATCTCAGCTCCCCTACCACCTTAAAAAGCAACGCTCAACCTATTAAAAAGCTCCCAGCCACCCCGGGACAGTGGGTGGATTTGCAGATACACCGTGGAAAAAAAAAAAAAAAAGATAGCTATCGCCTTGGGCATGGAAATTGAGTTGGGTAGAAAACTGGGGGTAGGGGGTTTTTCATAGTTGCTGGTGACCTAACTCACTTGGTTGCTTTGCTTTCTTAAAAGACTTCCCACCCAAAAAATATTTAGACTTGGTGTAAATATTTCTTTCTTTCATTATATTTGAGCTTTCTTTCATTATATTTGTTTAATATTAGGATAGAAATGGATGTGTGACACCTGAAGGAAAGTTCTGGCAGGTGGATTGGGACAAAGTTACAATCTGGTTTTCATTTTCCTTCTTGATTCAAGTGCCTTTACCGGGTGCCTCTGCCCTCTGTTTTGCAGCATGCAAATGAGGTAAATGATTCCCCACACTTGACTCCCATTTTGCAGACAGTCAAAGAAAGGTCAGGGCATTCCTCTCTGTTCCCCCAGGTACAAAGGAGACAAGCGTGGAGCAGGGAGAGGACACAGACTAAGAGACAGTGGAGAGAAAGGGTGGGAGGAGGTAAAGAGGAGAGAGCTGGGGCTTAGGGCAGGGAGAGCAGATGTTCTCAATGAACTTACACTTGGTATGTTATCGTTGGTACAGACCCCCTCGGACAATAATCTGTCTCGGATTTCCCAAGCAAAGATGGACGGGCACTCCCGCTTATACTGGGCTATTTTGCTTACAACTTCTGGAGTCGCTACTCTTGGTTTACTACCACCGATTGCCCTGGGTCTGATGGAGCCAGTCTCGTAATACCTGCCCAGAATTTTACTCACACATCCGTTGGACACCTGCATAGGGGAAGTGGACAGAAAACCACATTATTAATAATTTCAAGACAAAAATAAAATTGTTTAAGTATGCATTAAACAATGACAAGCTTACGTTTTGATTGTCCAGCACTTGGACTTTTGCATCTGCATGGGTCTATAACACAAAAATATACCTTCAATGGTACGAGAACTTACTGTAGAGAGCTTTTTTCTTAAAATTACATTTGTAGCCCTAAAAACTACAAATATGATGATACTTTGAAACAGTTTGAACTCAAAAACGAATTTAAAAGTTGTTTTTTTTTTAAAAAACTGTTTTCTTAAACACTGCCTGAAGATGCATCAAAATGAAGTCAGATTAATTGATTTTTGTGCTGACCTTGCTTAAAGTGGTGTTATGTTTTTTAAAAATAAACTGAATTTTTACTTCTTCTTCTCTAAAAAAACAACCAATTGAGTAAATATGAGTTAGGGACGAGTAAACAGCTTTCGCCTTTTAAAATCTATCTATCTATATATATATTCTTCATAAACATGAAGAATAAACAAATACCTCAAAATCTGATATAAGCAGGGGCTGGGGAAAGCAGAATGAAATTATGCCGGTTTATATAACTCAGCTCATTACAGTTCATAAACTGTTCCCACAATGAATGTCTTTACCAAATAAAAAGAGAAAGGTTTTTTTAAAAAAAAAAAAATCCACACACAATATTTTTCTGAAGCAGATGAATTATCTTATGTAACTGACCCAAGTTGAAAGAGATAGGGAAGGGTGGTGGAAGGAGAGGGGAAAGTGGGAAGGCAGGGGAGTGGGTGGGGGACTAGGGACTGGGGTGGGTGAGGGTGGGGGGTCCATAATTAGCATCGTTTACAGTAAGAAATGAAGAGAGGGCGTTGAGAGTGGAGGGCCGCGGGGGCGGCGAGTGGGGCGGCGCCGGGAGGATCACCTGCAGAATTCGGGAAATGTCGCACGGCCGGGCCCCGCTGTGAGCTAGCTCTACAATCTTCTGCCGGGTGGAGTCCGGCAGTGGCCGCCCGTTGACAAAGACACCACCGAGCTGATTCACTCCGCTGTGACCTGAGGAAAGGAGAAGGAGAGGAAAGGGGAAAAGAAAAGAGGAGAGCAGAATGAAGAGGAAGAAGAGGGAGAAGGAAGAAGATGAGAGATAACAAGAACAGGAAGGAGAAGAGGAATGAGAAGAAGAAGGGGAAGAGGAAGAAGGAGAAGAGGAGGAGGAGACAACCACAATGCATCCTCATCCCCCTGCCAACCTGTGCCAACCTTGGCCATCAGGTCCCTGCTATCGATCAAAAAAGGACAACGGGACCACCAGCCATGCGGGACATCGGGCAGCCCAGCCCCAAACAGCCGTGCCCCTGCCCACTGGACTGCAGCAGCAACACAGAGTCAGACACATCCCAAGGAACAAGAACACATGGACCTCAGTCTTGCCATAACCCCAGAGAGCCCACTGCCCCTCTTCATAAACACCGCAGCCAGCCCCTACACCCACAAAGGTTGGACCTTTAGCGTAAAGAACCGGCTCTACAAATCTCCCAAAGATCCCCTCTGAGTGTCACCGCAAACCATGGGTTCTACAGATCCCACAGTGAACCTCCAAGGTCTCTGCAGTGTTGGAACCGTGATAGCAAATCTTACAGCCCTTGAGTGCTCCCTTGGACGCTAAAATCCAGAAATGTTTGCATCACCGTCCAAACTGGCCAAGGCCTGGCACAAGCACCGAGTTTGGTTTTGGTTAGAACAGAAGAAGGGAGAAGAGAGAACCAGAGCGGCCCATCTATGGCTGGCGAGCCCCAGTCCAGGTTTCCGCACCTCCACTGCAGACGTGAGTCAGAGCCCGGCTCGGCTTCAGCCACAGACAGACAAGTCCAGCCACCGCAAGTAAGGCTTAGAGCCGGGGAGTCGGTTCGCAACCGCCACTGCTCGCTTTACTTCCGCCGCTGAACTCCGCCCTCCCCTCAGCCAAGGACAGATATTAGCAAAAATCAAAAACAGAAAAGAAAAAGAAAAAACCACATCACTGCGTTCCCCATCCCTCCTTTATCTTTGTATCTCACAACCTCATCCCTGTGGTCCAACCTTAGAGAACAGGGAGAGGGAGTTAGCCCGTATGTAGCCCCCCTCCCCAAAAACCAAAGACACACAAATAAAGCCAATTGCCAATTTCCACTTAAAAATCTCCAACCTGCAGCCCGACTCTAGAGAGCAGCCCTCCCAGAAGACGTGGCTCCCTGTTCGGCGCTCCTTTCCTCTCCTCTCTTCTCCTTGGAGTCTACTGATAAAATTGACTCCAGGAGCCAGAGCTTCTTAGCAATAAATAAGCTCCAAATATAGAAGAGGGGGGAAAATATGATGAGCCTCTCTGACATTTGTCTTTAAAATAAAACTAGCTGCACGTCAAGTTTGAGCTTAATTTCTGGAAATAGGCGGAAGTCGCTCCGGATCATGCATGGAAGGCTAATTGAAAAGATCAGTCGGGGCGCTTGTGGCAGCCTTGTCACTTTGTGACAGTGCTCCGCTCCGGGAAATTGCATCGTCACGACAAACAGGACCGTGATAAAACGACCCTTTCCATCCCTATTTGTAGATCACTCAGACTAGATTGAACTGCACTCGTTTACCCTTCGAGGGGAGCCGCGTTTTCAGGGTAGCCGAAGGCTTGGGGCTGAGGGGGGGCCCTCATCGAGGCGGGGGGAGGGCCAGAGCCTCAAGTCGATGAGAAGTGACAGGCGTTTGGGGGATCTGGGCTCTGGGCTCCGGCAAGCAGGGACATTGCGGGGACACCGCTTCTCCAACAGAGCAAGGCCTGGCCCACGCTTCCGGTTTCTCCTAAATTCCCTTTATAGCCTTTCTTTGCCTCCCAAGTTCCATCTACCGCTCCAGCTACAGAGCCCAACCTCTGGGCACAGGGAGCTTCCCGGAAAAAGAAATGTTGTCCCAGAAGGAGACTTAGAGAGACTTTCCCAACTTCACGCATAGCCACAGCAATTCCCAGTCGGCTAATGCCAAGGCGGGCGCCTGAGGCCGCCTACATGTAGACCTCCCTCCTCATGCATTGCAAAAACTACGTGCTCGCCGCCACCTCCGCAGCCACAGCGGCGCTCGCCCAGGAGACGCCAGGGCCAGGGCGCCACTCCCAGCATCGAAATGGCAGTGAGGAAGCAAAGCTCCAAATTCCCCTTCAGAGGTTAAGCCTCAATCATTGTGTCCCTTCCCTAGGGACGGCTGGCAGTCTCGCCCAGTGGCGCTGATTATGCGCCTAGAACTCGACCGCGAAGCAACTAATAGGAAAACATATGGTGTCAATTTGGATGCTCCGCGCCTCGCGCACACCCGGGAACGAGCGGCACAAAGCCCTGCGGGCCGGCCCGCGACCCTGCGCCCCTCGGGGCCTGCCAGCCGGGCCGCAGTGGCAAACGCTCAGCGCTGCGTGCCCTGGCTGGGGCCCACCCGAAAGAGAGCCTGCGGCTGGGGAGTCTGAGCTCCGAGAGGAGAGCCCAGCCGCCTAAGGGGAGTCTTCCGGCCAAGCCCTCGGGTCTGGCAGGTTCTGCACAACCACCCCCGCAAAACTCGCCACCTTTGTGCCCATTCCTGAGCTACGCGCCTACCAGCCCCGGAAGCGCCAGGGGGCGACCGGCGTTTCCAGAACAGACGGATAAGGTGCTGGGGACCCTCTTTAAGCCTTTGTGGTTCGTCCAGGGCAGGCTGCTAGAAGACCCGGGCCTTTCCACACTCCGAGTTCAGTTGAGCCCTGACGCTGTATGCCTCCACCGTAATCTCAAACCAGGCCTGTTTTCGGTGGGCCTCCAGGCTTCCAGGTCCGAGCTCTAGACTAGCCCGGTCACGTACCAGCACCCACCAACAGAAGAGGAAGGTGGGTGGGGCCCACGGGGTCTGGGCAGTGGAAAGCAGGGAGGTACGCAAGCCAAAGTATCAAAGGCGCTCTGAGCCTGGGATGATCAGGACCCACGCAACTGCAGTTGTCAGGACAGGGCTTTTCCAATTCCTGGGCACAGCCCCCACCTCCTTCCCAGACCCAGTAAACCGTGCTCTCTCGCGCACCCTGTAACAGCGAGTTTACCACCCCTACCCTGCTGCAGGCCTGGGGGCTCCTCTCCCCATCCCTTCAAGGCCCGTAAGTGGAGTGGGTAGGGGAGGCGCTGCCCTGAGAGTGACTTGGGGAGAGAAGCCCCCACCCCGCCCGGATGGTGGAGACTTTCAGTCTTAGCTAAACCCAAAGGGGCCTCCTTTTCCTAGCGCAACTAGGAGAAGCCTTCGCCCCGCCCTGCTCAGCCCAGCCCCTCTCTCCGGGGTCAGAGCCCGGGCAGGGGCGGGGAGGGGGTGTGAGTTACAGGATTTGGGGGGGATGGGGTTTCTCTACCGCAGCTTCGAAAACTCGGGCGGGCTGTTCTTAAGGGCCCAGCCCCTGTTCCTCCAGTATCGAGAACAGCAAAGCAAACGCCCTCCCCTTTCTGGCTGCCGGGCGCAGAGGGGGGAGCAGCCGCCGCAGGTCCTCCGGCCTTAGTCGGTCTGCGGCCTGGCCAGCGCGGGCGCCGCGAGCCTCTGCGTCCTCCCCTGACCCTCGTGTCCGCGCACCCCGAGCCCGAAGTCCCAGAAAGACCAGAGGCACTTACTGTTCTGCATCCTGGCGCTGGCTGGGGGCCTCGGGATTCCACGGGGCTTGAATGTGGGGCTCTGTTGGCAAGAAAATAGGAGTTAATCTCCAGGCAGCTGCTTCAGGTAGGCCTGAACACCCAACCGAGGAGGACATGGGGCCAGGACAGGAGAAGCTCCGTTCTTTAGGCACTGATCCACTCAACTGCTTGGGGCGATCTGAGGGTCACCAGCTCTGCCCTGCAGTGCATGCAAAATCTACCCTTTGGGGCTTCAAACAAAATACTTGAATATCCCCAATCTGTTCCCCCTACATTCTTTAGGAATTAACCCTTTAATCAGTAGAACCGATGCTCCAATTTTGAATTTTTTCTTCTATCAGAACTATAGTGAAGAAGCTTCCCGAAATAGTTTGTTTTGACTCTGTGGGTTTTGACGCCCAGAGCAGCCACCACAGAACTTGCCTGAAATCTCGGATGTCTGTCCACTCTCACAGTAAAAGGCCTCACACATCTGCGCGCCCCTAAAGTCTTCCCCCTAAGACAAAACAGAAGGAGAGAAAGGTATATCAAGCTGTGGTTCAACAGCATAGGTCCAGAGGCTCTCTGAGCCCCACTCTCAAGAAAAACACATGCATCTAGGGCTCAAACTGACATCAAACTCTGAGTCCCAGCATTACACCCACATTTTCAGCGGGCCTCTGGCACAAAAGTCTCCATCCTTTAGAAGAGGCTGCTCTGGTCTGGCTTGGGAGAATTAACGAATCTGGCAAGTTGGGGGGGGGGTCCCACTTTGCAAAAATATCAAGAACCAGGAAAAGGGGAAGGGGAAAACAGGAGGGAGAGTAGAGTAAGGAGTAGAAACCAAGAGCTGAGGTTGAGGGGGTGTGAGGGAAGAGGGGAGAGGGGAATACCTGAAGTTTAGAGACCAGGGAAAGGGGAGCTTGGAACTTCCTGGTGCCCAAGAGCAAGGCTGGAGCAGTTTGGGAGGGCTGCAGGGCCTTCCTCCCTCCTTCCTTAAGGAATTTCACAAGACCCCAGAACTCAACACTCTGATTACCCCTTTATCTCCCACTCCTCTCCCCACACCAAGAAAGCTTCCCAATGGCCCCCTCTCCATCTATCTCCCAGCTTTCTGGGACTTCGAAAGTGACAAGCACAACTTTTTCTCCCAAACCTTACTTATTGTGATTAACTTCTCTTTTGGCATTTAGATCTTCACCCCTTTTACAGTACTGTGACACACCCTGTCTACCTCGCCTCACTGCTTTAAAAAGTATGAACAGGAGGGGGTGAGCGTGGTCAACAAAGCCTACAGACGGCGAACAATGGCTTCTATTCTCCGCCTTTCCTGGAACCCAAGGAGCAAAACCCAGTCTCCCTAACCAGCAACACAGCTTCCAACCAAACGTACCATCAACCCACCAACTCACAAAGGGAACAGAGGGACGGGACGCTTCTAGCTTCATAAGCCCTGACCCAGTGTGGGGTTTCCCGAGGCTGGTCCTCCACAAACCCCTCCCTACCTTTCCCTAAAAAGAAGGCTTTTGGGCCAGTGGAGAAAATAGAAAAGTAATTTCTTGTTATAAATATCTGGAGGTAATTGTGTTACTGATGTGAGTTGTTAGGGGCTGTAAAAAAATACAACGGCACCGTGGGGAGCTCAATTGGGAAAAGAGAGTTACAATAAAGAGCCCATTCAAGAGGTCTGCCCCCCCCCAAAAAAGAGGTAAAATAACAAAATAGTCACAGCATATTTTATCCCTGTTTTTTTAAAATGCATTTAATTTTTCTGTTTTACCTGTGATGATTATTGATTGGCCTGCCTGCAATCAAAGAGTTTCAAGAAGCACGTTTTGCTCTACAAAGCCATTCCTGGTCTAATTTGTAACTACTTGGTAGCCAGCTTAAATCTATAAAAATAAACCAAAAAATGAGGACTTTTTCTCAGCATTGGGTAAATACTGGCCACAGCAGAGGGCTACTAGTTACCCTTATCTAGGTTGGCTCTCCAATGCTTCCCTCCAGTCTCTCAGTCCCGGCACCGGCACCGTAGTCATGCCCTGCACAGGCAAAACCTCCAGCTCAAACGCGGATACCCCACCCCACCAAATGCAGGACCCTGAAGCTGCAAAGGAGCAGTAGGTGGGGAGAGGGGGAATGGAATTCCCCTAGGAGGGGTAAAGCTTCCTGAATTCCACTCTGTAACCCACGCTGTACACAATCGCAATGGAATGTCCCCAACCTGGCTGATAACTTCTCGATGCCATTTTTTAAAATTCAGTAGCTGAGCCCTGAGAGGCCTCGCTGATTAGTTTTCGAAGCAGCTGGGAAGGTGGTAGGATTTCAAATTCCAGTTCTGCTCCATTCTTACTCCCCTCTCGGCTAAGAAGCTATCTAATTACTTAAGTAAACGTGAACACTAAGTGCAAAAGCAACCCTGGAAGTGGGGCGCATCGACACCCGGAAGCAGTCCTGCGCACCAGAGAGGTCAGACACCCCAGCTGCAGCGCAGGTCCCCCAGCTCTGCCCGAGGCTCTGTATGGCCTCGCTAGGGCCATAGACCCACATCCTGAACGAAGGAGTCTCCAGACATTTTGGAATCGCCCCAACCAAACCGCTGGGCCACTGCCTCCACCTCTCTGTCCCCAACACAAGCCTCAGTTTTCAAATGCTGTCATTTTAATTACTTAATTCTCAAATTCCAGCCCTAAACTCTTTAACGGGGCTAAAGGAGAGAGCTCACTTTAGGTCCTCCCGCCCCTAGCCAGAAGAGTAATTAGCAATTAAGATGACAAAGTTTTACTCTCTAGGGCCAAATAAGATAACAACTAATCAAACTGCCTTCAGACGTTTGCAAAGGTCACTGGCTATAAAAAATGTAATGTCAACCGCAACAACTATTATTTCTCCTCAGTAAACTTGCCAGGCTTTCAAGCTGTTTGCCTTTCATATCATTTTCTGATCCCAGCCCCTTGTAAAACCTTCCCAAGTTCGAGTTAAACATCCAAAATGGCTTAGGGAGCTTCGGAGAGTATAAGGAAAATAAAAAGAAAGAAACCACGTTCACTTTGTTTTTAAACTTTCTAGACATCACTCACGAATCAAGAGCCGAGTTTTAGCACTCGAAAAAGAAAGCATTTCCACTTGAAATTCAACTCCATTTCCCCCAATTACACTTGCTAAAATTCAGGGCTATTATGGCGCAGGGAGACAGAAAATCTGCACAAGGAAAGAGGCAACAACTTTATAAACTTTGAAAAGACACTTTTCCTCCTGGGGTTTTAGAATCGAAAGCTCTCAAATTACTCCGACTAATTAGCTGGGAGAGGAAATGATTAGAGTGGGAAAGCCAGTGCTTTCATATAGATTTATTTTTAGGGCCTTACCAAGAAAAGCATAAGGGGATTCAGAGTACAACAAACAAAAAAAGCATACTACCTCTGCATCTCAAAACTTGCTGAAATGCCAACCCCTGGTGCGACTGGATCGGAGGAAAACAAGGAAAAATACCCACCGAGCGCAGGGGGCCGGAGGACAAGGAAGAGCCCCAGCCTCCGCAGGGCGAGGGAGATGAGAGTCGGGGGAAGCCTGGGGAGCTGAGAGTTTTCAAGTTCCAAGCTCCGCGCTCCAGTGGAGTTGGGGCCACGAGCCCGGGGGCTGGATGGAAGCTGACAGTCCTCTTGCTCGGCTCTGAGCTCCCTCGGAGCTCGCGTCCCACCGCCTTGGCCTGGTGGCTTCCTTCCCGGCTCGCGCTAGCTCGCTCTTCCCTCTGCCTCCAGCGTGCGGCTGCCTTGCCGAATGACTCCGCTCGGGCTGGTGGCGGGCGCGGTGCCCCCTCGGAGTTCGAGTGCCGGCGGACACTTCTGCGCCGGAGCCGAGGGCGGCACAAAGCCCGAGGGCCGGCTGGCGGGCTGCGGCGCGGCGAGCCGGTTCCCTCGGCGCGCCTGTTCTCTGCGCGCTCGCTGGGCCTTGGGCTGGACAAAGCAGCCGGCAGCGGTTGCTCTCTGCGGCCGTTCCAGGGCCTTGGGTACCACAGAGCCTCTTCGTCCTCTCCCGCGGGTCGGGAGCATTGGGTGACGCTGGGGCCGGGAGCCGAAGCTGCTGCAGCGCCTGGAGCCTCGCTTCTTCCTGCGAGCTCAGCCCGCGCTGGTGCGGGCGCTGGGGCTGAGTCGACCGCCCGCCCCGAGCCCCGCACCGCTCCCGGTCGCCGGCGGTCGCCCTCCGACGCGGGCTTTCGCTGGAAGTAGAAAGTTTGGGCTCCTGCGTGGAAACTTCTCCGGCCCAACTCTCCCGGCGTAGCAGTGGGGGAGGGGACCGGCGAGAGGGGAGAAAGGAAGGGGGGAGGAAGGGGGAGACCTGTCTGAATATTGCAATAAAAATAAAGCGAGAAGAAAGAAGCGGACTCACCTTTATGAGGCATCCTCTCTGGTTGTTACGGCTCCTGTCAAGAGTTTTGCTTGGTTGGGGGTTTTTGTGCTGCTGTTGTTGCTTAAAGACCACAACGGTTTGAAATGACGCTGTTTTAAAGGAGTTGCTGGTGAGAGTTTTCTCCACGGATGCTGCTGGGTTGGTGTGTGAGAGCAATTCTCAGATTCCTGGGAAGGAGACAGAGATTGACAATAAAATGGGCTGTCAGCGGTTGGAGAGTGAGAGATTAAGAGTGTGGGTGAGGGAAGTGGCTGCAGCCAGCACACCTGTGCTGATTGGTGATGGCTCAAGTGTGTTAATGTATGTGTGCCGGCGCCCGGCCTCGCCTCCACCGCTCCTCACTGGCCCATTAGCGAAGCCTGACCTCTGTCATCATCCTCCAGCAAAACACTTCCTCCTGCGCCTGAACCAGAGCGGGAAATGAGGCCGAGCCACGGTTCGCTTTTCAAACCCACTAATCACTCCGCAACATGCAAATGCACCGCTCGCTCTCACACAAAATATTGCTTTATGCAAAGCAGCGCCGGGGCCTCGCGCCAGCCGATTGGATGCTCCCTCTCCCTGCCTGGTGCAATTGGTCCGTTTGTTTGAATATGAATACACTTGTTTTCGGCCTCGCCGGTGGGTCCCGGCTCCTCTCCCCAGCGCAGGGCCCCCACGCCCGGGCTCTGGCGCTCGCCAGCATCTCCCCGCTCCGCGCACGCCGGGAGTCGGCGCAGCCCGCACTGCCGCCGCGAACTTGAGTGGTCAAGTGGAGGCTTCTGGGTTGGGGGTCGCTCCCCCACTCCCCGTAAGCTGGGCGCCGGACTCCCAGTCTACGGAGGGTACAAGTTTCTGCTCTGTCCTTTCTTGCCAACTCCCCAGCAGCGTGGCCTACCGCCCCGCCCCCGCCCGCCCCTATCCCATCCCAGCCCGAGACCCAAGGACGCAGAGCACCGCGGCGGCCGCACCCCAGCCCACCTGGCCCCTTGGAAGAGGAAAGGGGCAGGAGCGTCACTGGGTCCCGGCATCTCCATTCCAGCTGCGGAGGCCGCGGCGAAGCCTAGGCCGAGAGGAGGTTGCCGGGCCCAGAACTAAACGAGGCCAGCGGCCTCCCCAGCCCAAGCCTCCAGGGCCTGTCCAATCCTCCACCCGACTCCCCCGGCCCTTTCTTCTCTCTTTTCTCCTTTCGGAAGCCGCGGTGCGCAGGGGAGCGGAGGCACAGCCCGGGCCAGAGAGGCCCGAGTAAACACGCCACTTACTTTGTGTACAGAAGGTTCTTGTGAAAAGCCCTGAAGAGTCCTCACCAAACACTCACCAACTTCTCCCACGTGCCATTTGTTGACTAAGTGCGACTGCTTTTCGCGGCGCCCGAGAGGAGGGGAAGCAAGGGGGAGATAAGAGGGGAGGGGGAATGGAAGCCTGAGTTGGAGGGGGCGGCGGATGACCAAGGCTGGGAGAGTCTCTCTCTCTCTCTCTCTCTCTCTCTCTCTCTCCTCTCTCTCTCTCTCTCTCTCTGTGTGTGTGTGTGTGTGTGTGTATGTGTCTGTGCGCGCGCGTGTGTGAGTGTCCCGCCGGTGATGTCGGTATGTCAGCGTGTGTCCTTTGTGCCACCGGTCATCTGTGTGTGGTGCGTGTCTCCGCACCACAACTCCCTCTCCTGGGTCTGCTCAGTCCACGGAGGCAGCTCCCCTTCAGCTGTTGCCAGAAAACCGGGGAGGAAAGTAAGTAAATGGCTTTTCTCTTCTGACCACACACCAGAAGTCCATTTGTTGAATGCCGCACGATTAGGACACACCTCAATACACTCCAAAGGCGCCCCTCCGAGCCCGCAGTTAAGGTGACAGGAGAGCGAGCGGCTGCCTGGTCCTGCGCTGTCCGGAGCTCTCTCGGCGGCTTCGGGCCAAGGAGCCAGGAAGGGGAAGGCTTGGGCTGCCGGACACACCCCAGGACCGGGCAAGGGGAAATGGGGCTGTAGAGCTGAGACGAGGAGGCTGAAATGTAGCCGCCACCGGGTATGCTAAACTCTTCTGGACTTAGGGAGAGTGCTGAAAGTCAGAGCTCATCAATAAAGTCTGCGGGACCTGAACTCGCTGATGACAGGCCGCGCCGATGCAGCCCCTGCAAGCCGGGACAGTGAGGACGCTGCAAGCTGCCCTGAGCCGCGGGGCCACGTGTGGGCCTTCACCCTCTCGTCCCTGCCCCAGACCCAGCAACGCCAGGACCGAGGAACTCGGGCAAAGCACCCAGGAGTGAAGGACACCCCGGCCCTAGCCAGAGTTGGGGTCACACAACCCTCTGCCCTCCTGGGTTGGGCAGGGCTGCCGGCTTTAACCCTTCCCGCGGCCCAGGAGCGCGCAGCGACAGGAGAAAACCCGGGTCAGAGGTGAAGGAGGTGGCGCCGGGTGTCCAGGTCCGCGGCCTCCTGTGCGAGGTTTCATTTCGCAGGAGCGCGACTTTCGGAGGATCCCGTGAAGTGGGGCTGCAGGCCTGAGTCCCAGACCAGCAAAAGTCGGTCTTCTGATTCTCTTTCCTTTTACGTCCCAAGCGAGCATGAAAGAAGTTTAGACTCGAGATTCAAGTCCGTTGTACCGGAGCGCGGGAGGGGGCGGGGGAAAGCAGTGACTCTGTCCGAACTGGAGGCGAGTATCATTTTTACAACCTCTCAATTAGCGACCGAGTGGATTAGCACCTTCTTAAGCTTTGCCTCGGAAAGAAGCAGCCGTAATCTTGTTGCTATTTCCCCCCCAGGGCACTGGCTCTTTGAATCAGCTTCTTCTCCCACTCCTCCAACCCCCATCTCGCTGCAGAAAAAAGTTTTAACAAAAAATCAGAAAAGGCAAGGACCGAGGAGTGAATGCCACTGACGTCATTGGGTGGGGAAGGGGGCTCGGGGAAAGACTCCTGGAAACTCCTCCGCACAAACAAGAAACAAAAAGGGCTTGGCTGCTTCCCATGTGTCAATATTTGGGGAGGTGAGCTCAGCCCCAGAATGAGGCAGAGTTTTCAAAGTTTAAGGAGAGAGGGGTGAGAGTGAGATTTCCTCGTTCTCTCTGGACTGGTCTCAAAGAGGGTGGGGGGTGCTGTTCTGCCTCGTGGGGAGCCTCACACCCTCTGCCAAGTACCCGCACTGGGGCGATGCGGCCTGGGGCTGTGGGGGCCGAGACAGAGGTGCCGGCGCGGTTGCCAGAGGTGTGCACAAAACCGAGACAACTCGCAGGTCGCCATTTTAATTGCGGCTTCCAACACGCCTGAGGCCCACTAGCTGCCCTCCAAGGCGCTAGAGGCGGAGGGGATCGTGCCTTAGGTTCTGTCTAGCCTTTCCCCGCCTCTCCACAAGCCCCGACCCACCCCCCTCCGCCCCTTGTGGCCAGAGGGAGGACCTCTCAGGCCTGCGGGTGAGTTCCCGCGGGGGGCCGCCGGGGTCGTTCTACCGGGCAGCCGGGCTGTCTGCGTGGAGGGAGTCCCGCTGGGGGATCGCGGCTCGCCGAGGCCTGAGCCCCTAACCAGTACTGATGCGTCAGTATGAGATAAGGCAAGCATCTCACCAGCACCCTGGCATTCCCCTGTGCCCACCCCATCGGGTCTCCGGTCTGGGGGCAGCCTCCGGGGAGGCACATCTGGGAGGATGTGAGTCCAGCTCCCAGCTTCAGAACCAAGAGCCTCCCACCGGGAGTCCTGACACCTCCGAACTCCCTCTTTCCCTGGCCAAGCAGAGGCGCAGCGCCGGCGCGCTGGAAAGGGTGAAGACTGGCATTTCTTTGGAGAAGGAAAGTCTTAGCAACACCTGTGTCACTTTGTAGTGCCCCAAACGTCTCTCTCTTTGCAGACCCTGGGAAGGTGGGTTCCCTGGACCGCGGAGTTGGCAAACGGATCCAATGAGCACTAAAGGCAAAGGCGCCCACCCTGGCCGCCCAGTTCCGGGTTCCTCCCCCGCTCTCCAGGCCTTTGTCCCTCTCCTTTCTCCAGCAACCTGCCGGTTCCCGCTCACCCGGCAGCCTCGCCGAACTCAGAGCCTAGAGAAGCCTAGAAGAGCCCAGAGCCGCCCTGTGGCACCTCCAGGCTGTGGCCACTGCTCGGCTGGGGGGAAGCCGTATTGCCCTCACCCTTCCTCACCTCCTGCCAAATGGCTAGTGCTAGAGGCTCCTTGGTTCAGTCCTCATTCCTCTTCCATTCACCCTGGGAGGCCGGCCAGCCTGTCTGTCTGTCTCTCTCCCTCTCCCTCACTCCCAAAATACTCTATAAAATAACATTGTTCAGTGGAGTTTCCCTGCAAAGGGATTCCTAGCAGCCTAGCGGGTCAGACTCTCAAGGCTTTGCCTCCCAGCCCCTCCACGCTGTTGTCTAGATAGGCGTTGGGTTTAAAACTCCTGGCGTGTAGGACAATTGAAATCAGCGGCACTCTCCGATTTTTGCAAATAGGGTTCCTAGGAAAGTTTGCTTTCCATTTCTTCCCCCTTAGATGATCCCCCATCTCTCCTGTCCCTGTAACCTCTGCCCCCAAGAGGCAAGAGTTCAGCTTTAAAGGAAAGGCAAACAAGCCAAGGCCACCTCAGTCCCTTCTCCCTGGAGCTCCCCTCTCTAAACCGCGGCCTGTTCTGGGGGACAACGACCCGGTCCTGCGACTTGTCCCGTCTTAGAGGTGGGGACAGGCCGGCAGGAAATGGGGTCTTTACTGGGAGATTTGAGGCTGAGGAGGGGGGGAGAGCAAATGTCATGACAGGCTTGCCCCAGCAGCCAGGGAACCGGAGCTAAGCGCATCCTGACGGGCTTTTAAAACGACATTGATTAGGACAAGCTGTTCCCAACCCCAGTAAGAGTTAATCTGCCTGTTAATCAA